TCCATTTCCAACTACTTTGCAAATTTGACCTAGATAGAGGGAAACCCTCTCCTTGTCAAGAGGCTTTCAAAAGCTGGGTTTCCTTGGCCTAATTGAGTCACCTACCTAGGGAAAATTAGGGAACACCTCTTACTACGTTAAGCACCTTGGGTTGGTTGCGATTTAGTCGTCCGAACTTTAATTCGGAGTGAAGCCTTGGCAACCCATAGACGATTTGCTAAGATATTTACCTAGGTAGCTTGACCTGTGTCCCTTGGTCAATTGGCTAAGAGAGTCACCTAGGTAGCTTAGCTTGTAGCCTCTTATCCAATTGATCAAGAGAGTGAACTCGATTCACTTGTTGCACTTCCCTACGGTTAGCAACCAACTTCACCATGCACTTTCATTCCGTTTAACTCACCTTTATAACTAGGTAGGGGGAACAACACCCGGGTAAAGCCTTCTCAAATAGTGTTCACACCATTTACTTTTCCAATCGCTTTAGTTTTGAATCGTAGTTCCAACCAAAAACCAATTGCTAGATAATGTTTCAAAAAATTGAAGTTGGGGGTACATGGTCGGCCCGGGTTTGACTTTTAAAAAATACTTGCCCTATATTGCACCCAACTAAGGTTTATACTTGGGCCTTGATTGGGATTTTTATTGTGGTATTTGGGATGATTCATCTGTAGCTCCAGTATCCACAATCCACATATCAGGTAATTTGAAAGTTTGAGAATCAACACCTGTAAAGAGTGTTAACTTGCCTGCAAAGTTGGGGAAAGTAGGCAATTTCCTTGAGACATAATTTGCATGTGGCAGCTTCCCAGGGGATCTTGGTCTTGAAGCACTTGGAGAGGTGGCAGGAGAATGTTGCAGCAGGTTGAGAAGTCTATTACAATCCTCAGTACTGAGCTTAAGGTTCTTGTAGCCTAATCTTTCTTCAGCAGAATATCCCTTAGAGGGGACATCTCCAACTCGATTAGATACTGACCCAACAAAGGTGTTGTGACCTGCTTCCATCATCTTCCTGTTTTTAGCTTTCAGTTTCCAACATTCATCTTTCACATGATTGTCTTTCTTGTAGTATCTGCAAAATAGACCACCCCGAGATGGTATTGAACACTTCATTTGATCCTTTCCCCTACTTCCATCAACTGCTAGGGTCATTCCTTCATCTCTTTTAGTTCCAGTACCTTGTGGATCTAGTTGTTGTAGGACATAACTGAATGCAGATCCTATGCTAGGCATAAGCTTCATCATCAACAAGTTGGCTCACACCCGTTCATAGTTATCATTAAGTCCAATTATAAACCTCATGTCATAGTCATTATATATGAACTCTCTAAGAGTATTAAGAACTACACACAATAGTCCTATATTGAACATATTCTTCCCAATATGTCTTCAGTCTAGTGAAATATTCATTAATGCTAGAACTTCCTTGTTTGCAAGAATAGATTCGAGTCTGAAGGTCCACTAACCTAACTGCATCTGCTTGGCCATATCTCATTTTCATATCTTTCCAGATCCGATATGCATTCTCGGTGCTAGGCACACTCTCAGCAGTAGTTTCATCAAGAGAGTTAAGGAGCCAGCCTAATAATACATGTGTTGTTTGCATCCCACTCTTCAAAGCCACTATCAGTAGGGTTAGGTTGTAGTTTTGATTCATCAATGTATCCAAGTTGCTTCCTTGTTTTCAAACCAATCCTCAAAGATCTTCTCCAAAGGTTGTAGTTGTTTCCAGTAAACTTGAATGGGACAATGTACTGGGGTACCAACTGATCTGTTGAACTGGTAGAAGTAGCCATTGTAGAAGACTGAGTAGATTCATTGCTCTGGTGAAAAAACCCTAGCATAGCACTACTTGTGCTCTAATACCATAAGAATAGGGTTGGATGAAACTTTGTTTCATTGATTTGATAAGCTGTATATGCAGTGGCTACACTTGGAACCCTACCATTTACAATGGTCACTAAACAGTAATTAACTAACAATTGAAAATAGCCAATGGAAAAGACACAGGTGGCAAAGCTCGATTGAGCTAACATAAGTGTGATGGGACGACGATGTCGGAGTGTTCTTCTTCAAGCAGGAGAGACCAAAACTTATCTCTGAAGTGGGCTTTCTGTGGGCTTGATCTTCAGTTAGGCCCACCATCTTGTCTTTAGTAACGCCCACCATCGATAAAGAAACGGGCGATTAGGAAAGAAAGAACGCAACGCCATGGCTACAGAGCATGTATTGTTGAGGAAAGCCTGTCAATGGCAAAGAAGGAAAGAATCAAAGAAATCAATCAGCGCAAAGAAGGCAAGTCTCAAGAAGGAAAGATACAACCAATCATGGGGAATCAAATCAAAATTCCAATGGCTAAAACAAGTACAGAGCAGTATAAATTGTGAAGGAGAAAGAGACCAAGACATCAATTTTCTGGAAGTTCAAAAGTTGGGTATTGTGTGATCAATAGCAGATTTTAAGAGAAAATCGTGAGCAAAACAAGTCAGGGAGATTTGTGTTAGTCTGCTTGTTGAAGCAGGGAGTGGATACATCAGAGCTGAATTCGATTGGCTTGGCAGGGAGCTCAGTCAAGTTGTTCGTTACTTGTAAAGAAGAACAAGTAAAGCCATCAAGTTAGTGATTAAGTAGGAGGTCTCAAGAAGAGAACCTCCTACCGTGGATTAGTCTATATTGGGATTCTTATTCTCCCAATATCGGATACCACGTAAAATTGTGTTTGCTGTCCAGTTTCATTTCTTGCACTGTGCTCTCTGTTTTCGGTGTTCTGCTCAGGGAAGAAAGACATCTGCTATGAATGGGCTCGGTTCTGAATAGGCGCATTAGCTTTATCGTCTAAGTGAAACAAGAGAGAAAGCTAAGCCCGGCCCAGATTTGCTCACATATAGGTTTTATCGTTTACTCATTGACATAATATTGATTTTATTATTTTGACATTGTTATCTCTCACTTCGTGAATTCAGCACTTGATTCCAATTGTGAGATTAGGGTTTTTGCAGACAAGTCGAAGTGTTAGAATATGACTTGAATTTGATTTGGGTTTGTTTTGTATTTGGGCCTATTTAGTTTGGGTTTGTGTTTGGGCTTTGTTTGATCTTTTCCTTGTATGTTTGGGAAAAGGTGTTTGATTTTCTGTTTGGGATTTGGAGAAGAGTTCTATAAATACTCTTCATCACCCTAGTCTGTAGTAAGGTCAGTCAGGTTAGTTTGTTTGGTTTGTTCGTTTGGAATTTGGTTTGTAACCTGTACTCTCCTCAAATCAGTGAAATTTGTTCCCCCCCCCCCCCCCCCCCGCCCGTGGATTAGCTAGCACACATTGTGTTAGTGAACCACGTTAAATTTGTGTTCGTTCGTGTTGGTTTGGATTATCGATTGCACGCTTCTGTTCTGACAAGTGGTATCAGAGCTTGGTCGATCGGTTAGGCAATTGGCTAGGGATTTTGGTGACTGCTGCGGTATTAGGAGATAGTGTTCGATTTGGGTTGTCGAAAGAATCGCTTCTGGTGTTCTCCAATTTTGGTTCGCGTTGGATTTGCATCGTTTGGTTTGTCGAGAAAAAAATTTGGAATTTGCGGCAGAGAGCTAGTTGGCAGATCAATTGGAATTTGGAAGCAATTACTTGAATTTATTGTGTTCGGTAATAGCTTGTGGTTTGGGGAGAATTCTGTTTGTTGCCCTTGGTGGTGATCAGGGTTTTCGATCACCAAGGATGTTTGTTCAGGATTTAAAGATTGAGAAGTCGATTTGGAGTTGCAGGTTTGGAGTTGGAAGTAAATCTGATGTTGGTGTTATCGATGGAAATAACACCAAGTTGGTTGTGCATGGCAAGTCCCAACATGGGTTGGACTTGCTGCATGTTTTGATTTGTTGATCGCCCTTAGGGGCATTTGGAGGAAGGGGAGATTCTGGTACAGCTGATTTGGAGAAGTTTGGTACGTCTGACAATTTTGATTGCATCTGAGTTTGGCGATTTGCATCGCGTTTGGTCTGGCGATATGAATCGCATTTGGATATGTCTGGCAATCTTGATTGCGTTTGAGGTTGGTGGTTTCGATCGCATTTGGATACGTCTGGCGATATGTATCGCGTCTGGGTACATCTGACAACTTTGGTTGCGTTTGGTACATCTGGCAACTTTGGTTGCGTCTGGTACATCTGGTATTTGACAGAGAATTCAAGTCAAGGTGGAGATTGTTAGAATATGACTTGAATTTGATTTGGGTTTGTTTTGTGTTTGGGCCTATTTAGTTTGGGTTTGTGTTTGGGTTTTGTTTGACCTTTTCCTTGTATGTTTGGGAAAAGGTGTTTGATTTTCTGTTTGGGATTAGGACAAGAGTTCTATAAATACTCTTCATCACCCCAGTCTATAGTAAGGTCAGTCAGGTTAGTTTGTTTGGTTTGTCCGTTTGGAATTTGGTTTGTAACCTGTACTCTCCTCAAATCAGTGAAATTTGTTCCCCTGCCCGTGGATTAGCTAGCACACATTACGTTAGTGAACTACGTTAAATTTGTGTTCGTTCGTGTTGGTTTGGATTATCGATTGCACGCTTATGTTCTGACACGAAGAGTATAAATTAACAGAGAGGGAAGGTTGGTCTCGCGCTCGACCACTTAACATGTATCGTAGGAATAGAAAAGCTTTATGAACATGTTTAGAGCGTGTACGTATTTGACACCTGGTGCAACTCGAAGAACACAAACAAAGATATCTCATAATTTGACCTCTCAATTCCAAAATGCTACTCTTCCGGATACCAAGCCAAAAAAGGGGAAAACAAAACGTAGCCAACGCAACTATTGACTACACTATATGTTTTTCACACTCGTATCATATTAAGTACTCTATACAACAAGAGAAAAAGGGTTCCCTGCAAGCAACCCCACAAAATCTGTGTAAACGTTTCGTCTTTGTATAGCTAATTAATCTTTCTTGTCACGTGTTCGAATTGCTTGTGTGCTGGGCTTTGGATGGGAATTGCAGAGCGGTTGGTGAAGAGATGAGATCAACGGCAAACCACAGAAGAGACGGTGAGAGGGTAGGAGTAAGTGTTGGCGTACTCGAAGGAGAGGGTGCCGCCGTTGGGCAAAGGCTTGCCGTTGTTGACAAGGCAGTCGTTGTAGCGAACGCGCTTGAAGACTTTGGGGTTGACGAGACGGGCGGAGCTGAACCAGCCGCAGGTAATGTGGATCCTGGAAATGTCGCAGCCGGTGACGCAGACGTTCATTATCTCGACGGTGTAAGTTGGTGTCCCGTTAGGGAGAGGAGAGGTTGGGCCCTGGTTTATCACTATGTCTGCCGTCGTACACTTCTCTCCCCACATCCTGTTGGGCTCCTCCTTCGCCAGCAGCGCTGTGGGCAGAACCAAACACAAGCAAGAAAACACAAACGCAATTCAGAGACATGAAAGAAGAAACCCCAGATTCAGATTGGGCAATAAAAGAGGAAGCACACAAAGGGTGATGTTTTGTATACAATTCGAGCTGGTGAAAGTTTGTGCTTTTGTGCAAAAAGGTGATGATGTGGGGAAACACATAATACGAGCGACTCGACCCATGAATGCCATAAAGAGAAGGGTCAACGGACAAAACACACTTTTATTTCTGAAGGCCATATGAACTGCCCTCAGAAAGCAAGCAAGCAGATGAAGACAAACAAAAGAATCGGGAGGAAGAGGAGAGAGAAATGGCATCATGTCACAATCAAACGTTTCGCTACGTGGTTCCTCTTTCCATAATGGTATTGTTGATAATGAAAAATCAATGGAACACAACAGACACCAGGCATTTATGGTATCCCTCTTTCTTCAACACGAGAATGCCTATGCCTTGCATTATTCTGAGGCTGTCCCGTGAATAGAAGGAACAACATTAACTAATCTGATGCATCCCAAGTCAACATATTAATTCATGGACTTCATTTATTATTATCTACTGAAAAACGACACTGATTAATGATTTTCTGACCTAATTTAATCAGCCAGGCAGCTACAGGTACAAAACATATGAGGATCGATTATTGCCATACACAATAATAATGAATAATGATGAAATAAAGAGCAAAAGTTTGTTAGGTTAACATGCGCCGTATGCAAGGTGGCGCCCGGGGCCTGGGTCACAAGCTCCCCGAGTTTCTCCAATTAACAAATGATCGAAAAGAGGGAAAAGGTGGAAGTGACATGGGGATCCCATCATTTCAACAAGGGCAAATAGGTAAATTCAACGCGTAAAGATGTAGCCCCCATTTTGGTGGAAGGGGAACGGTGCATGATAGCAAGGAATGAATGATCATAATATAATAACTAAAATAACAAGCCGTGTGCACCCCCTCTGACAAACTGTATCGTACGCACCTCTGATGGCCGCTGCTACGTCCTACCCTAGAGGCTACAAACCAGCTGCAGGGTATAGAGTCAGTCCCCTCTCCTCTCCTCCATGGCAATTAAGCGACAAACAACAGGGAAAACCAGCACAGCACAGGTATAACCTCCTTCAGGCTTTTCAGTTTTCACAACCCAGGCTAGGCTCCAAATTACAAACCCCCCCGGAGTGAGAAATAAAACCCACAAATTCGCCACCCAGCCCATCTACAACCGTCGGATCAAAGAGACTCAGACCCAGAAATAATGGCGTTAAAAGGAGAGAAGATTCTTACAGCGTCTAATGAGAAACTTGCGATGAGGAAGACCAGAGAGCAGTGCCCGGTTTGCATTCGAGATGGCGCCGCCTGGGCACCCTCCAGATGATGAACATGGACTGTTACCTACAAGTTTACACAGAAACAAAAGTAGAGAATTATTAGGACACAAATCTGGAAATATGATGAAACCCAGCTGCTGGTCTTGTTCCTTTTTCCTTTCGTAGTTGAAAATATGCAATTATGGCGAATGAGTACGAAAAAAAGAAAGCAGAGAGAAGGAAAGAGTGAAATCGACAAAAACAAACATAAAACGGGATACCCAGTTCATCCAAAAGAAAACAAAAAACCATTGGAAAGGGCAGACAAAATCATCGATTCGCTTTTCTCAGGTACATACCCAGGATAAAGCTAGTCGACTCAGTTTCATGATTAAGCAAACTGGAAGCAAAAGAAGAGAGTCGGTTATGATTAAATTGCTCTTTAGCTCGGCCTAGCTAGCTTTCCTTCGTTTATTATTCATTTTTTTCCTTTTCTTTCCTAGCTAGCTCCCTGGTTTTCCGGATAAATGATGAAGAGAAATAGTAGGATGGATGCAACTACCTGAGACAAGGGAAAGCAGCGGTAGCAGGAGCATCACCACCGCTACGGCGGCGAAGAGGAAGTACCGGACCCTAAGGGATTGAATCGTGGCCAGAAATCTCTGCGGCACGGAAACAATCGAAGAGGCGGCGAAACCGGTGGATCTCCCTGAGACGGACGGCGGCGAAGAAGAAGAAGCGAAGGAGGAGGACGGATAAATGGAAGAGCTAAGTGGGGACGGTGGTGGGTCGGACTGTGCGAAGAGAACATCCATTTTCCTCCGATGTGACGTTTCACTGTAAACGAAGAGTCTGCTAGCAGTAGTCACGCTCTTCTTCTCCCTCCCCGTCTCCGTCGCCTCTCTCTCTCTCTCTCTCTCTCTCTCCCTCACTCTTGGATTTATTGAAATCTGCATCAAATGGTAAGAAAGTGGAAGCGAGTCAGTATAAATAAGCGTGCGCTACATCACATCACAACACAGCGTAATAAAACCCTAATAACTGAAGAAAAATGGAAAAGTGAGGATTGGATTAGATTGGAAGAGGGAAAAGGAAGAAGGACATGAACACACCGGAAGATTGATTTTCGAAGTGAGCGGAAACCCTACTGGAAGCAAAGGTAAGCGAGAGCGGAAAATGGGGAAGCACAGAAATGGGTGGGAGAAAGCAAAAGGGACGCAGAGAATTGTCTCACTCACTCACTTGGCTGGGGAGAAAGGAAGAATTAAGGGGATTGGGAAGTAGTCTATGACTGGCCCCAAGGGAGAAAAGAGAAAGAGGGTTTTACTTTGATTGGTTAGCAGGAAAATGGGCTTTCATTTTCTGCGAAAGTTGTCTGTGGAGAGAGAAATGCGAATTGGAGAAGGAAGGAAGGCAGGCAGGCAACAGAAATACTGCGGAGGTGGGAACAGTACACAGGGACAGGGGAGGGGGAAAAGTGGGAGGACAAAGATGACAGAGAAGATCCGGGGAGAGCTAGAAATGACAAAACACCGCAGCATGAAAAAGGCTGATCCCATCATCCATTTACCAATACCCATGTAGCCCCCTTCCTCCCTACCCTTTTTCATCGTTATTCATTAGCTTACTCGTATTATCATTTACTAGTGTTGTATCCGGCCCGTTGGCCGGTTTATGGTCATTTGGGTTTTTTTTTTAGTTAAACGTAGGTGGTTCGATTTTTAGTATTGTGCACTGGTGGTACAAAAGAGTACTTTGATAGCTTATGTTTTTAGTGCCCGTTAACTTTATAATTATATTGAATTTGTATTTGATTTTATACTTAACTATAAGAAGTTTAAGTTAGACAATGAATGAAATGAAAAACTATCTGGAATCTATATTCATGCCTTGAGATATTAAGCATCACTGAATAAAAAAACTTAATTTTTTTTATGTTCGTTATATGTGAATAATTACCTTGCAAATGAAGCTTTGAAAATTTTATTATTATTTTAATTTAAATATAGTTGATTGTCATCTATTGAATTAAAAAGTAAATAATGTACATAATATTACTATAGATGTATTACATTTAAATAGTTTAATGATACAAAAATTCGAGGAGAAAAAAATGTGATATGGAAATAGATTATTTGAAAAATTATGTAAAGCAAATCCAAAAATATTAGTATATATGTATTAAATTTATATTTTTGAAAGAGACAAAAATGAAAAATATCAGCAAAAGAATATTTTGACTTGAAATGACCCTTTTAAGTTATTCAATCATTTGAACTTTAGTTATCATAATTCAAACTTAACCTTTAACAATATGCTCATATTTTTAAATATTTTATTGACTATGTCCTATATTTTCAAAAGCGGAGCGGTTGTCGATGAAAAATTTCAATGACTCATGATTAATGGTTTATCATTATAAAACTATTTTTTAATCGTTAATGGAACTATTCATATGTAAATAACAACTTAGTTAGGTTGAAGAAGCATTTAAGTTATTTCATTGGACCATATTTTACGTTTAATAATTTTCTAATAAAAACTATCTCGAATTCAAGCAATTACATAGAGTAAAAAAATTGATTTTTTTTTGTTTGATCTAATTCGACACAAATATCGAGTCGATACGATATAGATCGAATTATTGTTTAACCTACGACTAAACATGCGATCTTACCTTTCAAAATTTAATGTAAAAATTAGACATGCTAATTTGAAAATTAAAAGAATTTAAAACAATATAAATTGATTGTATTTTGCCAAGATTTCCTGTCTTTCTTCCTCTTCATATTTGCCGAAATCACTGTGAAATTAAGATCCTAAAACTTTTGAGGGTTGATGCTTGGTTTATCTGTTTAACGTAAAACCCTAATGCGAAAAAACCTATTCCGAAGGAACCTCTTCCCAAACATCCATGCCACAAAGATATATCATCTTTATCATCTCAAAATCCAATCGCAAGCATTATCTCATTTAGGAGTTAAACAACTTCAGATAGCCTCTGTTTTTTCCTTGACCACGGAAAATAAATCTACAGAGAGCAAAATTCAAATAATTATTATGTAGCATTTATCTTAAAACAAATCTTCTTTTCCCTTATTCATAATCGCATTTACTAAAAAGAAAACCAAAAGTCCAATAATAATGAGTGACCCTTGAGTGTTTGAAAAATTGTCAAAGTTGCCCTTCCACCAAATAAGGAGAACCAATCAAAGTGCAAGGTGGCAACAATGACATAGAGTGAAGTGCATAATATATTGTGTAGATAGGGATGGCAACAAAACCCGAACCCACGGGTACCCACCCGACCCAACACGGGTAAAATCCGTGTTGACGGGTTTTGGGCCGGGTTCGGGTTTAAACCGGCTACACTATTCATCGGGTCGGGTTGGGTTTGGGTTTAGGTAAATCCGACCCATGGGTACCCGCCCACACACATATAATTACTTTCCCGGTATATTTAATATTCTAAATAATATATTTTCCTTAAACAATTAATATTCTTTATGTTTGTGGAGACATGTATAATTTGTTTTTTCTAATTGTTGAGAATGAAGTTGATATTATGAAGTGGAGAGCGAAGAAACTTAGTTGACGAGGAAGAAGCTTTCAATTAATCTTTTGTTTATAGATGTTTATCTTTAATTTTGAACAATTTGTATTGATAATTTGCAGTTTGCTTGTATGCTCTAGATTGGTATTTTTCTGTATGATTAATTTGTATGAGAAAATTGATGTTGAACTTTTATTTTGAAAGAAACTTGTTATTGGAAATTTTTTACCACAAAAACCCACGGGTACCCATGAACCCGCGGATACCCAGCGGGTTCGGTTGTGTTTGAGTTTTTCAAACCCAACGGGTTTTACCCCGGGTTTTTTTTATGGATAAACCCATGGATTTGGGTTTGGGTTTGACAAAACCCGCCCCAACCCGACCCATTGCCATCCCTAATCATTTATCACCGAGAAAAGTAAACTTATCAAAATCAATATATTGGGCCCTAAACTCATTTAGCCCCCATATCGATATCAAATTAATATATATTGGGCCCTAAACTAGGAACAATGAAATTGCCTTTTTTGCTAGGAAATGGAAAGCACTATTTCTAACCCGACTAATAAAGCAAACATTACAGCTTTGTAAATACTCTCTAAGTGGCACCACCACTTACGCTCGATACCACGGAAAAAATCCCAAGTTACACATGTTTTTAAAAAAAATTCTCAAAATACACACGTTATGAAAATAATTCTCAATCTACGCATGTTTGGGCCATCACCGCTGTCGACGAAGACAGTGATTGCAACACCGCTGTAGACGAAGACAGTGATTGCATCACTGCAGTACACGGCCGCGGTAAAGGCCTGACCTGCGTCGAAACTTTAAACAAACGTAACTTTGTGCTCGGTTATCCGATCGTAGCGAAATGTTTTTTGATTCCACATAATTTTTCGAGATCTTGCAAGCCTCAAATTGCCGTAGGCGGTTTGGTCCCTCCTTCGTCTCGAAAATATGTCGTTTGCTACCCCGAATGAGCCTTTTTCGATTTCGTCAAACTTTGAACGACCATAACTTTGTGCTCCACAATCCGAAAATCATGAATTTCTTTTTTATTTCGCATAACTTTTTAAGGACTACAATTTTTATCATAGACATATTTTCGGAATGTACTTGGATTCCTGAAAAGGAAGGTAAAGTTATTCCCAAAACCCCTTATATCCATAAATAATTCATTTTTTGAAAATTCTCTCCTACTAAAAATTGTAGTCCTTAAAAAGTTATGCGAAATCAAAAAAAAAATAATTCATGATTTTCGGATTGTGGAGCACAAAGTTATGGTCGTTCAAAGTTTGACGAAATCGAAAAAAGGCTCGTTCGGGGTAGCAAACGACATATTTTCGAGAAGAAGGCGGGACCAAACCGCCTACGGCAATTTGAGACTTGCAAGATCTCGAAAAATTATGCGGAATCAAAAAAAAATTCGCTACGATCGGATAACCGAGCACAAAGTTACGTTTGTTTAAAGTTTCGAAGCAGGTCAGGCCTTCACCGCGGCTGTGTACTGCAGTGATGCAATCACTGTCTTTGTCGACAGCGGTGATGCAATCACTGTCTTCGTCGACAGCGGTGATGGCCCTAACATGCGTAGATTGGGAATTATTTTCATAACGTGTGTATTTTGAGAATTTTTTTTAAAAACATGTGTAACTTGGGATTTTTTCCCGATACCACGCCATTGCGAACCTTGTCAAAGACAGCCTTTACATCACCGGCAAACACCATCTTCCGGACGCCGTGAATCTCACAACAATTAATCACCTCTCTTAACGTGAGCAACTCGACCAAGAATGGATCCATAACCCCATCAAACAGACGCCCTTCCACTGCCAAGTGCCAAGAGCGAACCCTGTGAATCCTACATAACCCATCCCCCAGTTCCATGAGACCTAGGCCGAACTACCCCATGAACAAACACTCTCATGTGATCTAGGGACACTTATGCTAGCTCCACCACACCCTCTGGCGGACCCTGAGAATTCGTTCCACGCATCTCTGCCTGACCCTGCACTTGTGCCTGCCACTCACCCGAACTGTATAGCCAACGTAACAAAGGAGAACTTTGTATGCTCAAACACCACCCAATTGCGAGACATCCAAATGCGTCAGAACAAAGATACCATAAGTCCATACTCATAACCTGTTCCCACCCCACCGCATGCTGTTCAAGAAACCTACACCAAAATAAAATGACATTAAGCACATGTAAGAAATCACAAACAACAACTCCTCGTCGTCATCCCCACAGACAGGACA